ATACTTACAATGATACCTACATAATAGACAAAAAAAGAAACAAAATTAAAAAAAACTTAAAAAAAAGTTTGAAATGAATTGCTTCAAAACTTACCAATTTATTTCAATCAAAAAATCCTACTGAAAAGTCGCCAATGTCCGAACTGATACCTTGAAACTTACCAATTCCAAGACCCAAAGCCGAAGGTACAATACCTACAAAAAGAAGAAAAAAGAAAAAAAAATATGTAAGTTTCGATTACACTGGTCGAAATCATTTCTTTCGGCATTAATACCTTTCGTCAAAAGTTCATCATTGTCATCACGTGATTCGTCAAACATTCGGCCAATTACAAAAATCGAAAAAAAATTTAGCATAAATCAACTGGTCGATTTTTGGTCGATTTTTGATTGAGTTGTAACATAAAAAAATCCATAAATCGACCAATACTATTTTTTTATTTATTTTTATTAACAACAACAATCAACTTAAAAACTTTTTTGACGATTTTTAACCAATTTTTTATAATTAATTTAATATCAATAACGGCAGATCACTGTACTAAGCCGCAGTTACAGTAATTAGTTGATCTATTACCGAATTTAGACTATTAAATAATAGTTTAAACTATTTCGAAAAAAAATTTTTTCTTTTTCTAAACAAAATGGTTTTAAACGTTTCAAAAATTTTTTTTTTGTTCAATTTTTTATCGGACCATTAGTTAGTTAATGTTCCGATTTTTAATATTTTTATTTTTTTACGAAACATTTCGTTAAATTTTTTCTATTGGAATGTTAATCAACACTCCATTTTTTTAATATTTTTTCGCGAAACGTTCTTTAACATTTCATTTGATTTTTTTTTACATTTTCAATCAGAACGTCAGTTAACGTTCCGATTTTTTAATTTTTTTTACAAAACTGTTATTTTAAAGAAAACGTTTCTAACGTTTTTTTTATACTTTTATATAGGAAATCAGTTCCAGCGTGGATACTGTTTTCCAGGTAAAGTTTCGAAAGATTTTCGAAACTTTCTTTAAAAAAAAACGTTTTATACTAAAAAACGTTTTTTTTATTATATTTTTTGTGTAGAAAATCGGTTCCGGCGTGAATACTGATATTCCAGGTAAAGTTTCGAAAAAAATTTTCGAAACTTTCTTTAATAAAACGTTTTAATAAAACGTTTTTTTATTTTTGTATAGGAAATCGGCTCCAGCGTGGACGCTGATATTCCAGGTAAGTTTTGAAACAAAATGTTTCGAAACTTCTTTAAAACGTTTTTTAATAAAAAAAAATGTTTTTTTTTTATTTTTTTTATATAGGAAATCGGCTTCAGCGTGGACGCCGATATTCCAGTTAAGTTTTGAAACTAAAGTTTTGAAACTTTCTTAAAAAACGTTTTTTAATAAAAAAAACGTTTTTTTTTATTTTTATTTAGGAATTCGGTTCCGGTGTGGATACCGATATTCCAGGTAAAGTTTCGAAAAAAATTTTTCGAAACTTCTTTAATAAAACATTTTTAATAAAACGTTTTTTTTATTTTTGTATAGGAAATCGGCTTCAGCGTGGACGCCAATATTCCAGTTAAGTTTCGAAACTAAAGTTTCGAAACTTCAATAAAACGTTTTTTAATAAAAAAAAATGTTTTTNATATTATGGGTGTATTTAAGCCAATTAACAAATATCATATTCAATATATTAAGGTATATTAATAGCACATTTGAAATCAATGTGTAAATGTTTAGAATTTTTGCATAATCTTATTGATCTCTAATGTATAATTTCTACATCCATTTAATGCATAGCTAACTCTATAACCTTAATTATATTTAATGAAAAGTTCATATGGTAAGGAAGAGATGAAAGAGTGACATAGTATTTTCAATATTATTCAATTTTCATTTTTTTGATAATAAGGATAATGGTAAAGTGAGTCAATTTTTTTAAGATTTTTTCTGTTAAAAAAAAAAATAAAAGGATATAAGTAAATGGATTATTTACTCAGTAAACATAAAGAAAATAAGAATGTAAATTATAAAAAAAAGGAAAATAAACCTCTAAAATTTGCAAAATACTTAGAGTACTAGTTCATAATATATAGTAATATATTTTTGATTTTGTTTTTTTTTTTTGTTTTTTTTAATATTAATGAACGGTTACTAATAACCATTCTTTTCATTTTTTATAGGTTCGGGTGGGCTTCCGAAGAATGAAAACCCAAAGATTCGTAAGTACGAATCTTTAATTTTTTTTTTATTTATTATATTTTTTTGATTTTTTTTTTCTTCTATTTTGTAGGTTTTGGCTTCGCGTTAGATATATAGGTAAGTTTCGAAGCGAAGGAATCAAAACTCTTTAAATAAATTATTTTTTTTAAATTTTTTTTTATTTTTTTTCTTCTATTTTGTAGGTTTCGGCTTTCGGTTCTTTAAGCGTTGGATATATGGGTAAGTTTCGAAGTAAGACTTCGAAACTTTTTTTGAAAAAAATTATTTTTAACTTTTTTTCTTCCATTTTGTAGGTTCGGCCTTTGGTTCTTGGGCATTGGATATGGGTAAGTTTCGAAGTAAAATTTCAAAACTTTTTTTAAAAAAAATTAATTTTTTAATTTTATTTTAATTTTTTTTTTCTATTTTGTAGATTTCGGCTTTCGGTTCTTGGGCGTTGAATATATGGGTAAGTTTTAAAGTTAAAGCTTCGAAACTTTCTTTTAAAAAAGTATTTTTTTTAATATTTTTAAATTTTTTATCTTCAATTTTGTAGATTTTGGCTTTCGGTTCTTGGGTTTGGATGTACGTGAATAACTTTGGATGAGTGGATGATGGTGGATGATGGTGGACGATGGAGATGTGGATGATGTGGATGATGGTTTATGGTGGTTGACGATGGTTGACAATGGATGGTGAATGGTGAATGGTGAATGGTGAATGGTGAATGGTAGATAGTGGATGGTGGATGGTAGGTGTAAATAGACAGATACTGTAGATATTAGATATTTAATATGATAATTTTTAATGTGTAATTTTAATAAAGCGAAATAATAAAATATAATCAATTGATTGTTATTACAAAATTAAATATAAGCTAAATACATAAAAATCATTAACAATTAGACAAAATTAGACTTAATTTCGTCTAACATTCGGCAATTTGAAATTTGGACGAATGTCTAATAAAGGTTGACGAATAGTTTATTTCCGATTTTTCAATAAATTTTTGCCAATTTGTGATTGCCAAGTGGCAGGCGAACTGTGCAAATCGTCCATTTTAATTTTGACAATTTTTTTGGCAATGATCGGCCAAAATTAGACCAACTTTCGTCCAACATTCATCAATTTGAAATTTGGACGAAATGGACTATTCTGACCAGTGTTATTATCCATCCAAAACCAAAGAAAGGAAGCCGGTATCTAAAAAAGAAAAAAAAAAGTTAAAGCAAGTTTTTAAAAAAAAAACCGAAAACAATAAGTTTCGAAAGAAAAGACTTTTGAAACTTGCCAAAGCCTAAGATCAAAGCCGATACGTACCTAAAAAAAAAGCTAGACAAAAAAAAAATAAGCTTCGAACTTAATGATCCAAAGCATAATGTTGAAGCTGATGCATACCTAATCAAACTAAAGCGCAAAATCGAAGCCGATACTCACCTAAAAAAGAAAAAAAAAGAGTTTCGGTTGAAACTCACCCGTAAAAAGACGAAAGTTAATAATATGATAAAGTTTCGATAAAAAATTAACAAAAAAATTTCCAACGAAACTCACCTGTAGATTCAAGATCCGGGCGAAATACCTACAAAAAAAAGACGAAAGTTAATATGATAACGTTTCGATAAAAAATTAACAAAAAAATTTCCAACGAAACTCACCTGTAGATTCAAGATCCGGGCAAAATACCTACAAAAAAAAAAGACGAAAGTTAATAATATGATAAAGTTTCGGTCAAAAAATTGAGTTTAGTTTGAAACTAACCGATAGACGAAACATCGAGAAACGTTTCGACGTTCAAAATTGCTTTCGGTTAATCATATATTCATATGTGTTTCCTGCAAAATAATGCAAAAGAACTTTTTTAATTAATTATAATTAAAAAACACTTCACATTTCCTGTTTCTTATCTTAAAGCCCGATTTCGTGTCCAATCCGGCACTCTACAAAAAAAATAACGAAAATAAATGTTAAAACGTTTCTTAAATTAAAGAAAAATAAGAAAAAAAACCAACTTTTACCTTAAAGTCCAGTTCGTTCTAGCTGGAAATTCCTATAAAAAAAAAAAGTAGTAAAACGTTTCTATAAAGTGACTTTTTTCTTTAAAAAAAAAACACTCACCTTCCGAAGCCAAAATAAAGCCAAAAGACCAAAGTTCGGTATCAAAGAGGCTGCGGTATCCAAGAAGCTGAAGTTCAAGTCCAGGACGCGTCCCAAGAAAAAAAAGGGAACGTTAGTTACGTTCCAACTCAAAAATAAAGCCACTCCTCCCATTATACAATTCCAAAGTCCGATATCCAAGAGGCTAAGGTCAACGCGTCCCTAAAAAAAAAATTTTTTAAAAAAAAAAAGATTTTTTTTTTTAATGGTTTATAAAAACCGCAAAAAGAAGAAAAAAAATTCCAGTCCGAAGTTGATAGAAAGTCCGAGTCGATTTTAAATAAGGAAAAAAAAATCTACCTAAATTTAGACTTGTGTATTAAAAGTTTAAATATAGATTGTAAATCGGTAAATCTATTTTGAATTCTTTAAATAAGAAAAAAAAGCCTATAAAAAGAACCGTTAATAACAGTTCGTTGAAATAAAAATTAAAATAGAAAAAAAAAATCACCGAAATCCCATGTCCAAAATGAATTGTCTAAAAAAAAGAAAGACTTCGTTAAGAAAAAAAAAACCACAAACAAACATTCCAAAGTTTCGGTTAGCAATAATCGTCAATTTATATGAACAAATCGTTTATTACTAAATAGATGAATTTTTATTTAGATTTTAGAAGAAAAAAAGGAACAAATTTGTAATTTTCTAAATTTCGACTAAAATTGTCTCTAAGATAATAAAGTAATATAAAATTAGTAAAAAAAAACCAAATTGCGTCCAAAAAATATTGGTGGTTTTACTCAATTTTCTTATTTTTGTCTTTTTGTTGCGAATCGGCTTCCAAAATAGCTTCACGAATCATCCCAGTAGTTGAAGATTCGCCATGAGCATATTCTTCATCGGTGTTATACATAATCGAATCTTCGTTATCACCGTAAACTGGCATATTACCCACAATCGAATCTTCATTATCGCCGTAAACTGGTGTTTTACTACCTAAATTTACATCTGTTTAATAATTTGACACATGATGATAATTCTTGATAAAATTCACCTTCAATTTCTGTGTCATAAACTTGGTCAATTTGTTCTATGTAAGACCATTCAGGAGCATTCGGAGGATGGGGGTGGTCGTAAGATTGCAATTCGTCATCATAATTGCGTTCTCTTGTCAAACGAGCGATTTGTATTGTGAATGAATGAGGATCAAGGATATCTCGAAGTAGCGTTTTTAGCTAAAATAAATAATAATTAATATAAGTATAAAATTTCTATAAAAATAAAAAAAAATTGGCATCGAACCTCATCTGAATGCCAAGACAGATCGTATACGCAAATAATACGTTTATTTTGATTAACAGGATCATCATCCGATTCACTTATTTTCGGTAAATGGTACTTTCTATTTTTTAGTATTTTTAATAGTTCTTCTTTATTGTACTTTGATATTTCCGAATTATTATTTGCGTAAAGTGACTTTGCACTTTTCATCTGCCGAATCTTTTTCTGAATTGTATGTGAAATCTGTTATTGTAAACGTATATACATATATATATATATATAAAAAGCAAAAAAATCCATACTTCATTTAACCTATTGTTTGCATGTAAGACGGAGGAGGGACTCTTTCTGACGATCATTCTGCCCAAATTTTAGCAGAAGGAAAAACGTCTTTTACGAGTATTTTTATTAATAAAACCCAAATAAAAAACCTCAAAAATGGAGTCAGCATACAAATTTACAGAATATAGATATAGGTTTCTAAAAGAAACAAGAAATTTTTCTAGTGCAGACTCACGAACTATGGTAAAAGGCCAAGAAAGAGCACGAAGAGACTTTAGTCTCAGTAAAACAGAACAGAACTTCCTGGAATCAATACAGAATAACGCTGTACGCAGAAAAGAGACTATACAAGAAATAGTTTTAAAGTGTTCAGCAACGTCTTTCGACGTCTATACAGACAAAATAAAAAGACTTTCATAGGAAAATTCAAAGCTGCGAGAAGAACTGCGGAGAAAAGATACAAGAAAGGCAAGTTGGAGAAAACACAGGAACGAATAATATCACAGAAAAATGAGCAAATAAGGAAAATTTCACAAGAAGTAGAGAAAACGAGATCAGAGCTAAAAAAGGTTAAGACTAATATCAACAAAGAAACTGATCAGCTGAAGAAATCCAATAAAGGCAGATCGACATCAAATAGGAGAAAACAGGAAGAAATCTTAGAGATACCAGTTTTACCCGAAAATACCAGTAATGATCAGCAGGTCAAGGAGGCATGTGACATATTTTTCTACGATATACCAAAATATTGGAGCGAGGACGATGTAAGAACAAATCTGACAAAGATAGGAACGGTTTACAGACTGCAAATTCGAGGACAATACAAATACAAAACCGTTAAGGCAAAAATCGCTTTGAACGAAAACTTTGAAAAAATGTTCTTGGATGGACATTTCGGTATTTGTATTAGCAAAAATTTTATCAGATAGTATGACGCAAAACTAGGTTTGAAAGGACGACAAGAGCGGGATCAATGGCAGACTGTGAGAGACCTAACTAATGAGGAAATGGAATCTATAAAGAAGGGAAATACATATGATTTCACGAAAAAACTGCAACAAACCTCCAAGACGGCGTTCATCAAAATTATCAAAATCAAAAAAAATTGGAAAGTGATTGAATATTTTAAAAACCTCAAAGAAATGGAAGAAGCAGTGGAGGATTCATGCACACAAGGAGATATCAATAGAGTTTGGCTTGTAAGAAACAAGAAGACGATATATAAGACGGTGATGCAAAGACAAGGGCGACGAAAGCACAAGAGAAGATAGTCCAAGATAAGGTTATAGCTATGGAAAACAGGACGAGCTCTCCTATACGGCTGGCAAGTGAACCGAAGACACCTATCACACCACCGGAGAGAATTTATAGAGAATTAGGGAACTTCGCTTTACGAAAAGAAAGCTTTTTACATCCATCAAAAGCGGAAAAGCCACTAAGGATAAGCAAGACGCCAGACGAAAATGAAGTTGTCGAGATGATCAAAAACTGGAGAGTAGGAGAAGAGAATACTCCAGATCATAATGACACTTCAGAAAAAAAGGGCAACAACTGAAGAAAGATAACGTAGCGCCTGAAGAAGTGGTTGATATTATAAAAGATTACAGAACAACGAATAAAATCAAATATGTTCAGTATCAAGAATCAACCCACAATGGTAGTCTAGTCGACAAATTAATGGAAGTGAAAGATGTCTTCGATCAACTGTCCAACGCAATGGAATGGGAAAGAATCAATACAGAGGCCCTGCGTTTAGTGAGCAAGGAGAATAAGATTGATTCAATGGAGAAAGCTAGAGATTGGGCAATGGAGAAAAACAATTTCTTCCATTTAGGACAAAGAATTATCAGTTTAGCGGAACAAACGAAAATATTCCAGGAATATACAACCATGAACGATAATTTTAAACAAAGATTGGAGAATGAAAATCGATACCAAGACGAAAAGAAAATCGGAGAAAAGAGACCAATTCTGGAATCGCCGAGCAAATGGAGCGAGATAGAAGATGAAGAAGAAAGAAGCAAAGCTTTCAATGAAATGTATAAGGAGAAGAGGCAAAGAGAGCAATTGATTTCTTTTTCACCATCAGCAATTTACGGAATTGAAGAAGATACAGAAGAGGAAGAGATAGAGGAAAAAGAGGTTGAACCTGAAGCATCACCATCAAAGAAGAAAAGTGGAAAGAAAAAGAAAAAGAAGAATAACAAGAAGTGAAGAGAGAAGGAAGAGACTTACGAGGAGAAATGAATTATATTTTAATCGAAGTCACGTGATTCACGTAAAAAAGATTCCGATAACAAAAATTCACAACAAAAATGTATTTTATTTCAACTTGTTCAATTTAGTTTAGAATACTAACTTTTATTTTTTTTGTAGGTATAAGGGGGATTTGGTGGAATGAACTGTTTGGGTGTGGGACCGTTGGGACTCTTCTTTTGAAGCTGCACATGGCAGACCTGAACATCATTACACATTTCATCTTTAATCCTACACTTTAAAATTTAGAATTCAAATAGTTAGGTTTCACAAATAGTATAGTTTGCTAGTTTTAGGCATTTTATTTTCAGGTAGTATATTTATTTTATTAATTTTCTGTAATGTTTCTTTTTGTTTTGTTCGATTACTCTGTTATAGGGTTGTCA